ATGCACTACCTTTTTGGCCGAGATTTGAGACCTCGGTAATCTCCATTTACATTTCGCTTATGTGAACATGATCATTTGTTGGCCAATTGTGAATGAACTTATAGTAAATCATGAAAAATGACAGAAGTGCATCTTTATTGTCATGTATCCCCTCATCCCCACGGTACAATGACTAATGGACTCTGCTTCAGCTGATTGTACAACTGACATGCCTGTTGTGACCAGGTTAGCGTATGCGGATTATCTCAATGTGCGAATCAAAGACCGTTTGACATGACGGGATAACTTGACGTTCGTTTCGACCAAAACAAGCCTTTTTACTATCTTGTGAATGTGTGTTGTCTGGGAGCAAAGTAACTTTGAGACGGTAATTTTTTCAAGCTGTGTTATTCCCGTTGTGGCTTCAGTTACACGAGTCTACTTCAGGAGCTTAACAGCGAGCGAGCTTTTGTTTCACAGCACACACCGTTGGAATGCCTGAGTCGGAGGATTCAGGTACATTCCAGTTGCAAACATGATGAACTATGGCGCAACGATAGGGAATAAGAATTTTGCTCACTAGGTCCTGGATACATTTAATCATTCATTGTACGTAAAGCTGGTATGTAAAAGGGCCAATTTAGCTTGAACCCGGGCTAGTTTTACCCGTCCGCCAGCAAGAGCTAAAAAAATATTGCAGATCAGTTCTTCCTCGCCTTGTTAAGACGTCGACAGATCCTGAGGAACAACAAGAGTGTTAAGGAGTGTCTTCTACATAATGGAGGAAAATCGCCTTTAAGTGGACTGGCAATTTTTTTCTCTTTTGCAACTTTTCTTTTGTCATACTTTTTCATATGCCTGACACAGTGCGCTGAGAAGAAGCCGAATATGTGTTTTGTCTGCCGTAGTGCTTAAATGTAAACTTGCGCAGATTTTGTATCTCCCGATTATGGCAATGAATATCCGTTTGTGTGAATACTGCCGAGGCGTGAATAATGGTGAAAAACATTTCCTCGAAATATTTACACATGAAAATTCCTATTCAGATGGGATCAGGTTTTAACCGCTGTTTCCAGTCTTCATTAGCCAAGTAATGAAATTCACTGACATTGCTTTACTTTTATAAATAAAAGCCAGCAGTCAAACACAATATAAACGATGGATCTGACCCACGACCTTGGTCTTGACACTCTGGCATCTCGCACTCGTCATCTTGACGAGTACCAACGAATTATCCATTTATTCCTCTACGTCACTTCGAAGTAGCTTTGAACTTAGTAGTCTTTCCTGTAGATTAATCTATGCTTTTGGCATTTCAGCCCCAAGTTCCAGTTCATGTTTCATTGACTATTCGATGCACAACTAACTTCCTTGGAGGATAGTCAAATATGATAATGGTGATGTAAAAGAAAAATGGAGTGTTAACTTGTCAGATGAGTCTTTGACTAATAGAGACATCGATTCTCTGACAGACTTGACTTCATGATCACGACGAAATTGCGAATATCTGAATTCACACCTGCGATTGAACGAGCTTTACATGAGGTAGATCGAGATTAAGTGGAAAATTTAGGTGAACGTGTAGTGGATGTAATGAAGAAATTTGAACAACCGAAGATGAAGTAACTGCACTTCGGTTGTTCAGACGCTGATGATTCACTAGCGGTCATGCCGGCAGACAAAGGCATTATTAATGAAAAATCTGATTACATTTTAAAAATAAGCGGCATGTTTCAGAATGACCTGTACAAAAGCGAGGAGCACAATCGGAGGAGGCGTAGCGAAATAACGGAACGAGGTTCTGAAGGTAATGAAAACAGATCTGATGGTGAGTTATGGCATTGTGTTGTTTCTCACCTGTGTTCCGGTTCAACAAGCATTGGAGGAATGACAATACAATAACGCGATACCAAGATGGAAAGAAAACACTCTGGAGCGGGCATTCCAGCATGGGATCATCTTCTAGCTAAAATGAATACTCGAGCATTGCAGAGATTTCCAACTGCCCTGTCATACGACGTTCTTAGACTTCTGGGCAGCCTTCGATTCAGTACATCGCCAGACAATGTCGAGCATTATTCGACACTATGAAATCCCCCAAACGATGGTAAATGTGGTAGAAGGTCTGTTCCATGAAATAAAATGTGCGGTTTAACCGAAGAATGATTGTCGAAATGGTTCTGTGTGACAAGCGGAGTTCGGTAAGGCGAGGAGCTCTTGAATTTGTTATTCAAAATCCGTGGGGACTAATCCATGCGAAAGGGCATCATCCTAAATATCAATGATAGACTCAGTCAGACAATCAGTCTGCAATGCAGCTCAAGGTTTTTAGCGGTATTTCTAACCGACTGTGATTATGCGGACGACATCGTGCTGCTGAATGGCTCTGTAGGTGGCCTACGGACACTGAGAGCGTGTACAACACCTCTATGGAAGTGGTGCTGGAGATGAGTGCCAGATTATGATAGTAGACCGAGGATTATTTGGAATGGTGTAATGATAGAGAGTTGGATCATTTTAAGCACTTTGAAACTGTGCTGGCTAGCGATGCAGTTATGGATCTTGAAGTGACCTGTGCATCTGACTTGCAGCCGCGAATTTCGGCAGGCTCTATGAAACATGGAAAGGTCAGATTATAACAGTTGATGCGAAGATCACCATCCTGAAAGCAATCATATTGCCGATGCTAATGTAAGGTCCGGGAACAACAGCAATCTGTAAGCGACGATGGTTCCATCGAGTTACGAACATGCAGGTGCTGAAGACCAATGATTTAGTAAAACTGTCTGAAGAACTGGAAGATTGGCACCTTGCATGGTTTGATAAAACAACCGAGTAAGAGAAAAAACATTTATGAAACCTTTCTCATATTAAATCCGTCCACTGGCTGTCGACGTGTTGGAGGACAATGTAAATACTGAAAGCAACTTCTTGAGATAGACTTGTTTGCGACAGGAATATGACTTTTGTAGCAGCGTTGAACTATGCCTGATATCAGTCTTTATAATTTTTAATGTCTAGATGTCACAGATCAACTCTATTTTGCTGTATGAGCTCTGTTAGCGTAAAAAGACGATGACTAAATAACAGCATGGAGAATTTGAGAACGCCGCCTTTAAATCCGCGTCATTGACTCCCGAATGTTGTAACGATAAATTGGCAATATGTTAATCTTCTGCCTGAAGGCAAATACGAAGGCTCTATTGAACCATCTTCTCATAATGGAAGTAGAGGAAGGTGACCCAGTTCAGATAATGAATTGTAAAGTGAGTCACCTACCTAGTGCCTCACGAGAAAAGTTAGCGTACAAAAACCAATACACCGACTATTACTCAACTTCAGGTCTAACTACTCCGTTTTCACTAAAGCCTGAGTGGTTAAATGACCGATGAATTGGGCCCACGCCTGTGTTCTGATACTGCGGCTCGAAAAGAAGTTAAGGATGTTAACAGCACACTGGGACGAAATGGACACTCGAAAATTTTAT